TACCTCAACAGTAGGAGGATGATCTTTTTCTTGAATCCACAAATTTCTCTGCTGGCTTGATCCACCCGTTTCTTAAAAGACTCATATTTGGACTAAAATCAAACACAATACAATAGACCATTTTAGTACTACATCTGTTGACCTATAATATAATCATATTTATATTAAAATTAAGAGAAATATAATACTCATTAATCTAATTAAAATATATACATACCTTGATGGCCTCTCGCTCTTCTATGAATTCTTTGCTCCGAAGCAGCAAGCTTTCTTTCTCATGAGCCGATGCAGAAAAGTAAGCCCCAGGAAACCTTGTTTCTATGCCATGCTTGCTGCAGAAAGGTAGCCAAGACCTTGCAAAGGAAGATGCCTCACGAATGGCGTATAGCGTAAGGGGTGAGCCTGCATCATCGGAGAGGTATACGGTGAGCTTCTCCGGTGGATACTCGAGGGACATGGCCGATACCACAGTGTCCATGACTTCCACCGTGGGCTCTTTCTTGGGATCAGCTATGCAAATGAATACATCGATTGCCGGCAGCTTGTCATCTGGGGGAAGTCTCCCTGAGAACACAGTCCGAGACACTGGACGCCAGCGGTAGGCCTGGCGGAGGAGCCAAAGAAAGGAGAGTTGAAGCTCAGAAGCGGAGATGAGAGCCCATGCCAACATGGGTACCGGTGTAGCTAGATTGCTCTTACTACTGTCAAAGAGTAGTACTGAAGCCCTGTAGTAGAGCAAGGCCAGTAGTAATGTAAAATGAATCAGAGTGTGCACTCTGTTGATCGCTGCTTGCAGCTGCCGAACATGGCCGACGTGAAGAGGGAAGTTCTCCATGTCTTCTCCCACTCCTTTCACGATTTTCTGAACTGAAGTAACTTGTTTCCTAATAAATTTAAGTATGAAAGTCCTAAGGCTCCAAGCCTCGTCCTATTGCTTGGTGGAAGTAAAACAATGATAACCTTTACATATTTGCATTTTTACTCTTTCCAAACTGAGCCAAAAAAAAAAAAAATCAGTTGATGTGATTCTCTGCTTGTTCACATTTCGTATGGGAACTGTATGTGTAAGTTGTCACACTACTTTAATTGGCGTAAGATAAAAGAAATGAAGATGCTAAAAAAGAAAATGGAGTAGATTCCCACGTGTGAACAATTCAGTAATTACAGTAATGAAATCTATTAATGGAATCTTTAATAATTATTGATTATTACAGTAATTTAATAAATATATAATTAGTGATTATAATTAATAATTACTGTTATTATAAATATAATTAATGAAATCTACTGATTATTACAATAATTAATTACTGTAATTTAATAATTAGTGATTATTCAGTAACTTAATAAATATATAATTAATGATTATAGTTAATAATTACTGTTATTATAAATATTGTTAACAACTAGATATTTACTTTAAAATTATAAATATATTAAAAAAATACTTTAATAGATTACTGATTATTACAGTAATTTAATAAATATATAATTAGTGACTATAATTAATAATTACTGTTATTATAAATATTGTTAATAAATAGATATTTACTTTAATTTTACTTTAAATTTAGTAAATAATGTTAATAAATACTGTTAATTTAATTTAATTTTGGTAATTATTAATTTAATGAATATTGTTAATAAATCCTATTCATAAACGTAATATTTACTATTATATTAAAAATAACTAAACAATATTATTAAAACTATCATTAATAATTATTTAATTAAATAGTATAATTACTTACTATTATTGATAAATGTTGTTAATAATGTTCTAACAACCGATAGTTCGACCGTCTGGTTTGAACGGGTGGCCTGTTCTGACAACAAAAATTACAAGAAAAAATTACGGAACCGTTCTGGCCACCGGTTTGCGGGTCGACGGTTTGATCATTCGGTTTGAACAGATGGTCCGTTCTGACAACAAAAATTATAGGCAAAAGATTTAGTTTGTGAGGTCCATTAAGTAGTATCACACATGTTATGTCATTCGAGCATGTGACTCATACAACCCGAAAATGGAACCGTTCTGGCCACCGATTTTTTGGTCGACGGCTCGACCATTCAGTTCGAACGAACAACCTGTTCTGACAACAAAAAATTACAGAACCGTTCTGGCCACCGGTTTTCGGGTCGACGATTCGATCGTTCGGTTCGAACGGAAGACCCATTCTGACAACAAAAATTACAAGCAAAAAATTGAGTGTGTGATGTCCATTAAGCAATATCATACGTGCTATGTCATTCGAGTGTGTGACTCATACGACCAAAAAATGGAATCGTTTTGACCACTAGTTTTCGGGTTGACGGTTCGACTGTTCGATTCAAACGAACGGCTCATTCTGACAACAAAAATTAAAAAAATATAAAAATAGCCAAAAACCATTGAACGGGTTAACGGTTCGACTACTCGGGTCAATGGGTCGTTGAGCGATTCAAGGGTTTTTTGCCAGGGATCGGGATTGGGGTAAAACGGAACTGGTTGCCTGGACAGTTCCCAATTAAAAAAATAAAAAACGGACGGCCCATTCTAACAAAAAAACATTACAAGCAAAAAATTGAGTGTGTGAGGTCCATTAAGCAGTACCATATGTGTTATGTCATTTGAGCGTGTGACTCATACGACCAGAAAATGGAACCATTCTGGCCACCGGTTTTTGGGTCGACGGTTCGACTATTCGGTTCGAACGGATGGCCTGTTCTAACAACAATAATTAAAAAAAAATAAAAAAAAAACAACCAAAAACCATTGAACGGGTCAACGGTTTGACCGCTTGGGTTAATGGGTCGTTGACCAATTCAACGATTTTTTGCCAGGGACCGAGATTAGGATAAAACGGAATCGGTTGCCTGGATGGTTCCCAATTAAAAAATAAAAAAATRGCCAAAAACCATTGAACGGGTTAATGGGTCAACAATTCGACTACTCGAGTCAATGGATCATTTACTGATTCAATGATTTTTTTCCAAAGACCAAGTCAATGGGTTAACGAGTCAATGGTTCCATTCCAAAAGCAGGGCCCCTCCGCTACTTGTGAATTTAAAATGGAGATGGAATGAGTTGTCACAAAAAAAAGTAGGAAATTGTTTAAAAACCAATTAACATGTGAGAGGAAGAATATTATTAAGCCATGCCCTAGCCGAGGTGTCTTCTAATGCAATTTTTGCTTTTATTATTGAACCTGAAATTAAAAACATATATACAAAATAAGGAAAAAAACCATGGTTTTCAAAATCAGACTAGACAGTCGGACCGGAAAAACTAGGAATCGGTTAGGTGATTAGCTCCGTTTTACCCTAGAACCGTTATTTTGCTAAAAACTGTTGATTTGGTCAGTAAGCCATTGATCCGGGCAATCAAACCATTCGAACCATCCAACGGTTTTGGCTATTTTGATTTTTTATTTTTTTGTCAGAATGGGCCGTCTATTCGATTCAAATGGTCAAATCGTTCAGTGTGAGAACCGGACCCATGACTGGTTCGTTTTCCGATTCAGTTTTAAAAACCTTGAAAATAACTATCAATTAAAAAAATGCATGAAGAATGGGGAAAACCTTAGAATCCAAAATTTACTAATTTTAAATAACTAAACCAATGATAAACATAACTCATAGTGTTTAAGAGACTAAATTTGGTTCTACGAAAAGCACATAAAGAAGAATCTTCCACTGATGATACCAAATTAATAAATAACAAATTGAATGCCCTGATGAATAAATATAAATACCAATTGGTAAAAAGAGAGTCCAATCAATAGGTTTTTCATTCAATTGTTTGATTGAGAGAGATGAAAATACCAAAAGAAATCAAATGTATATAATAGTTTTGTCCAAAGCATGTATTGAAAGCAAGCTAGGTCAAACTAATGTGTTTTAAAATGGGGACCAAGTTCCCTATGAAATGGGTAACATTGTTGAATTATTTCATAAAAACACAAATATGGGAAGCACGTAAATTCTTAKAGGAAAACTAAGAAGAAGAAAAGAACTAAAAATGCTAATTCGTATTTCATGCATGTGCCACTATTAAGATCATCTCAGTATATTCTAGTTCTATCCTCTAATCTAGTGTATTATATATAAAACGCCTTATTTCATGTTTTGTGTGCAAAGAATTTGTGTTGCAGGCTGCGTTTGGTTGAAGTGCAATTTTATTTGCACTAGTACAAATGCATGGGAGTGCAAATGCGTTTGGTTGAAGTGCAATTTTTATATTTTACTCTTTTCTGAACCAAAAGCAGCCACACTGAAGACACTCATTGTGTCTTCCATATGCCAAGATCCGGTATGCAATGAGATCCAACCTGACTGCCTGAGTTGCACTATCGTTTAGCTCCATTGGCCTCTCGTTCCGTCCAACCAAGAAGATAACCAGACTTAATTGAGAACACCCCTTTCTTCGACAATGACTAGATGATAACATCTTCACGGGCCTGGCCCTGAACTCTCAATGGGATGGCCGATGGCCAATTCGGGTCAGGATCTGCCGCCCATAAAGCTGTGTATAAATGAGTTGTGTATTTCCGCCAGCATAGTTTTTTTTTCCTTTCCGTTGTATATAGTTCAAATTTTCTTTTCAGTTCCTGAAAGCTATTGTTGTTTATTATGCTATTATTTTTATGGCTGCTCCTCGTGGTGGTTGTATACTTGACGTATCATATCATCAAATCAAGCAAAGCTAGGCCAAAAACGTAAATGTTGGCTCTTCAAAATCTGTAATCTTATATGCAATAACAACTTAAGGCATCTTTTGTTTGCAATGCATTTTTATTTGTACTGTATGGGAGTGCAAATTCGTTGATCAAGTTAAACTAATATCTATCTACCTGATACAAACATTGAGTCGAAATTACTGAAGAAATTTATTTTTGTAGTGATTTTGGTGGGCATTGGAGGAAAAACATGAGTCAATATTTCCTCTTTWCTAGACTTCTTTCAACTATGGTTCTGAGAGCATGGCAATGAGAGGAGAGGAATAGGAATGAGAGATGGAGTTCTTAGAAAACATCATAGATTCAAATGATCACACATTAGCTGTAATCTCATCCAGAATACAAGATTTAAAGAAAAAAAAATCATGACATGGGATAACTCTTAAGACGTAACATGTAATRATGTAATAGTATTGGTTAGAATGGAGACCGCTCACTCAAAAGTTCCAATATAAAGATGCATAAACACTCGGAACCTTGGTGTAATCAATCATACAACAAATTTCTATCAATAGATGTGATCAAATAATATTATGGTGTACAATCCCACATTGATGATGTTTCATAATTCATCCATTGGGCTCTCTTTATCAATCATCTCCTTCGAAGCCGCCACAGACTGTGAGTTTCTAAGTTCCTCAAGCTGCACCATGACAAGCAACAAACATGGAGAACCATCAAACTATGTACTCTCAAAGAAAAACAACTCAGCCCCTTGTGGATAAGCATAAAAGTTTCAAATTCAAGGAAGGGGAAAAAGAGAGAATTTGCCAAGGTGTTGGATTTAGATCTCCCCACCAACTCAGCAGTCATGGTGGATCTAGCTAACCTCCAACAAAGTGTACACTAAACCAGCAATTGGAATTGCTGCTGAGAAACATTACAAAATTGAGCACCCCATAACAACTACTCTAGTCCTAGCACCCATTCCTGTTTAAAGTAAACATGAAATTTCATTAACTAGGCCAAAAACATGGTAAATCACTCCCTAGTCACCAGTTCAATCACGAGGAAGAGAAAGGCTAATAAGCCTAGTTTGACAATTTTGTCTGTAGTTGTAGGGTATTATGAAATTTGCTTATGCTTTCCAATTCAGTCAATCATAATAGAACAGGAAATTTTACATGGACTTGCTTGGATTCTTGGTCCTTGGGCTGCACTCAGGCCCCAAAAACCTCAGCCTTGGATGAATAGCATTCTTGTATTCAGAGATGCATCACTCCACACATCTCCTCTACACTCTCCACACTCCAAATACTAGAGTGGTCCATAGATTCTTCATCAATTGATTCCTCATGATGAACACATCCTATGCCCTCCTCGCCTTCTTCATTGTCTTTATTAGTTCTCAGATATATCATATAAGGCTTGCAATAGAGGTGTGTTCCTCACTGGCTTCTACTGATCAATTTGAGCTAGAAAGACTATGCTAACCAAGCAAGGTCTGCAATCATCCTATGGTTGTCAATGATGAACCACTGAAACTGTCTCCCATTGGTGTGGTAAGATCCCTTGCTTTCACAATCCATATATCAAGGGCTCTACTTGAGTTTAGGTAAGACCAGTATATAGCATCAATTTGCTCCTTCCTAACAGCCAGTTGGTCTGAACCCATCTGCAAACTGGAATCTTCCTTTGTTTCAGAGACCATGCCGCATGAGCCAAGTTTTTGCCAGGCATTGCTTGGTGATAATAGGATCTGTCATTAAAATGCTATCATACACATGAATTATCTTTGATTCATGATCAAGTGGTGACCAAAATTACTTCTGATGCCACTTGCAATTAAAATTCCTTTTAAAACACTTTATTGGATTGTTATGCCTTTTTCCAGGAGAACAAAACCCCACGGTGTATATGAATTTTTAAAGCTTTAAAGCTCTTCCATTAGTTGGATTAAACACTTTATTTGATGACAAGCAGAAAGTTTACTGAATTAACAATAGGGATAAGAGTTCTTTCCCCCACCTACCAGTGCTTTATCCAATAATATAGATCTCTATTGAATGAAGGCATCAAAATGGAATATTCTTCTGCATTTACAAGTAAAAGTAATACCTCCCTGCAGGTTTCCTGGTGTTCTGCCAAGAGTTCCTTGTATTTTATCTGCAAATCTGACATTTCAGCTTGTAGCTTTTCATATTCAGGCAAGGTTGGCCCACCCAATCTGTGCTGAATAAATCTGTCATGCAAAAGATTGAGAAATTATACCTGACCATTTACTAATAGATAATGACATATGATAATCATACTAGTGGAAGAATATGGTAACCTAAAGAAACAGAAATGTCAAATAAGGAAATATTCTGCTGTTCAAACTAGGACCTTGAAAATATTTCAAATGCATAAGGCATGCCAGTTGTGTAATAATCAAATGTTACAAGAAGCTCTTGATCATTACCTAATTCCTTTTAAAACTAGTAACATAAAGGTATTCATTTCTAACTTACTCTATTCATAATCTTCTTAAAACTATATCAATGGAGATAAGATACTTTTTTTATCAGCAAAGAAGTATTTTATTCAATTAAGAGAAACAGTTACAGAATTACAGCAAAATAGAAGATAGACATTGCACCAAAAAAATATTACAATAAAGCCCAGAAAAACTGCTGCCTATAAACTCCCTGTTTGGCTAATGAATCAGCCATCCCATTTGCAGTTCTCCTGATCCATGTGAAAGAGGCATTGAATTCCCCTGCTAGGCTTTCAATCTCCCTTGGGGGATTATAAATCCGAAGAGCATTACCCCTTGTATTAGTCCATGATATCACTAGTTTTGAGTCCCCTTCTCGTCATAGATTTCAAAAATGCAAATATTATTCTTTTACTGGCAATTTCAAAAATCAACTATTGTTGCATGAAATTAATCTGACCCCAAAAAGCTCACAGATTATTCAAATTAAACTGAACATGGTTTAATTAATTTTAAAATAAGATCCACTGAGTAATTAAAAAACTTACCCAATTGCAGAGGAAGGCTTGTCATTCTGCTCATATAGTGCAACAAGAACTGCAAGAAAGTAGATAGCAGGAAGTAAATTCCAAAATAAGCTTCATTGTCACAATATTTATTGAAAGTACAAAGATAAAAAGACAACCTTTCGTGAGGGCATCAAGCACTCCACTGGACTCCAAATACTTCCTAAAAGCTTCTTTTTTTGCTTCCTTTTCCTGCATTGCATATCAATAATTGAAAGGTAAATGAAAGGGAGAAACAGAAAGGTAAAAAGGGTAAAACAACATAAAGCATAAAGATTTCTCCCATTTGGAAGAAAATATTCAAATTGGTTACCTATATCTTGCCAAATAAAAACATCTATTACCTTTTTGGTCTCTCCAATTAGTTAAACATACGTCCCAATTATGATTATAAGATACACAACTAACTCTTGGGTGACATAAGTGGAATAGAGGCTCCTGTTAAACCCAAGCAAATAGGATCCCAAAAGCCTGAACAAAATAAAATAACTCTTTATTTTTAACAATGTTGTCTTTGTACCCTATTACCTATGTGTATGGTATAGTATAGATCCTCTTTTTCATCTCAAGAGAATCATTTTACTGTAGTCTAAAGGCCATAACCAATGTCAGTCCCAGCTATTTGGGGTATTGGAAAGGGTGGACTGGAACATTTGGCAATTTTTTGCACCACCATGGCAAATTTTTACAGTTGATGATCAAAATAAAGATCAATGCATATCTACACCCTAGAACAAAAAAGTATCCCAGGAATGAAAAGAATCTTCAAAACAAGGTTCAAAAGTTGCCTCCCCTTGACTCTTGCAACCCCAACCTCTACCTCTAATGCTCATTGTTTTTTGTTTTTTGTTTTTTTTTACTGAACTGCATCCAGTTAACTCCTTCCTCTTTGTCTAGCAATCAAGAATCCTGACTTGTCCCAAATTACCAAATTGCGAATAACCCAACTGTTAGAGTGAGCCGAATAGGGGTAGTTTAGTAATCTCATGTCAGTTAAGTACTTTGCTTATGTKGCTGTTTTATTAGAGTACTCTGCCCCACACTTAAGTGAGGGCAGTTTAGTCTTTGTAAGTGTAATTAGAACCTAATAAACATAAGGGGGTCGACTGAATGGGAGACTAATCAGTTTTCGACTAAA